AAAAAGGTCCTGGCATGTCTCCTAAAAGTGTCATACTGGAATATCTCCAGCTGCATGGCCTTGAAAATCTATAAAATCAAAATAATGAGAAATAAATAAATGTACACATACATTTAATAACAATGAAAATAAAAGATACCTTTTGTAGTTGAACAAATGATCCACCGGTAAAATATATAGCTGCAGACAACTGTAGATTTCCAACAGGGGTACTTCCTATAATGGGTTGGCTCTGCCACTGTCTGTGGTAGTTACATTTTTCGCAGAGTTGAGTGAATGCCACAAAAGTACCCATTCGTCTGCTCTGGACAGAACACTTGCTCTTGCAAAATGGGCAAGTATCAAACAATTCTCGCAGGCAGCTTTCAAACACAATGTATTTGGAAACACTGTACTGTCCTTGGGGGCCTAAGCTAAAAAAAAGGAAAGCAAGTCTTGGCAATTGCTTTACAGAAAATTAGAGCAACTTAAAATTGTAGTATATTGACAACATGTATTTGTAACTTACGACAATTCAGATTCCTCTGTTACCACAGACTCCATGTTATATGTAGAGTCATGGGGTTGTTCAAGTAATTGTCAGTGTCCTCTTCTTCCTCCTCTTCTTCCAACACCAGATGAGGTCTCTTACGTGCAATGAAGCTTGAGCCCTTTACTGGTGTTGAAGACAATGGCACATCAGAAAACATGGGAGTGGTTTCAGTTCCAACATTGTGACCAGAAACACTTGCCTGGATGCCTATAAGTGAAAACATAAAAATATTCTTATTTTCTGTCGGATTTCCTTAAAAAGTGGTGTCAGGACGTTACTGTATATGACAAATGTACATGCTGTAACTCATTTACATATTTACTGTGCATTTGTCATACCTCTGATCCTTACATGCGTGTCCTTCAGTGTACCCATAGAAAGTTGTGTGCCGACTGATCGCATATTACATGAGGTTTGTGTGGCCTCTGTTACAGTTTCTACAGGGTCTGACTGACATCCAATTTCCAGAAATTTTAATAAAGAGGGAATCTCAGATGAACTAGGACCCTGCTGGGATGTACTCTGTGAGAAAGTGAAAAAAGGAAATACTAAACCATGGCTGTCAAATCACAATCAAAATGTCAAATAAAAAAAAAAATATGTCTTTGGTGATAAAAATATCTGACGGGAAAGAACGCTTCACACATGGACGTAATATTCGTGTATTACACAAAATATCTTTCAGGGCAGAAGATAAACTTCAAAAAGTTAAAATGAGGACATATGGGTTTTTGCTAAAGAGGGAAACGCGTGCACCCTTGTCATATAACAGGTTTAACAGTACTAACGTTACCCGAGGGTTTGCCAGCGCTTGGAGTAGATCATGAATAGAATTAGGCATCAGCTTTATGCAGGCAATTTGGATCACGCCGTATCCACGCGTATCACGCCGCAAGTTTAGAAAACAACACTGTGTGTTACTTCTATTGTCTTTTGTTGCCTGGCATCAAGTTCCATAGCTACAGTAAGTTAAATGCCAGCTAACGTTACATCAATACTGTAATGTTAGCAAACTAGCACGCTGGATGGGCCAAGTAACTGCGCTACAGTTGGTTTACATCGCACAAACGGCATACAACTTATACTTTGAAATGTAAATAAACAACACACACAAAAACAAATAAAGCAGCATACTTACAGGCTGTGATGCAGATACAGCAGATTGTCCCGACAAAGTGGGAACTGCTCTGTCTTTCATCAAAAGCTTTTTGGCAAAACCAGCTCTGAACTTCCTCATGTTGTGAAAGCTGTCCTCAGTAAAATGCACAGCACACAGTACCAAATTGGGGTTGTAATGCTCAGGAACAGAGTTAAAAATAAATTGCAACCACTGTTTCCTGATGTCGTCTGCTTTAGGAAGGCCAAACAAAGATGTTTGGGCACAGGGGTGAAAAAAACAGCGTCTCTTCGACATGGCGAAAACTTGATGCTACAGCAGCACTTCTTCTTCGTCGTCTCGTCTGATGCATTCACTCAACCAAGCGTTCTAACCACGACCTCGCCCCTCCCCACCCATTCGAATTTCCTGGGCGGATTTATTTTAATGATATTCTAATGAGCTGCTTTGTGATGTCATTAAACCCAAAAAATAACGCTGTAGTCCAAACGAGCCGTTCGTTGTAGTTCTTGAAAAGGGATTTTTTTTAAAGCGAAATATCTCACTTTGGAGTGGACTTTCAGATTTGTAACTTTCTAGATCTTTTTATGCCCAAACATACACACTATACAATGACTAAAATTCAAAAAGTGAAAAAGCATAATAGGACCCCTTTAAGAGAAACAGAAACACACACACACACACAGTTGTGGTCAAAATGTTACACTCTAGAGCAGCGGTGGCAAACTCCAGTCCTGGAGAGCCGCAGCCCTGCAGAGTATAGCTCCAACCCTAATTAAAACTCACCTGCCTGTAGCTTTCTAGTAACCCTTCAGACCTTGATTAGCTTGTTCAGGTGTGTTTGATTAGGGTTGAAGCAAAACTCTGCAGGGCTGCGGCTCTCCAGGACCGACGTTCGCCACCCCTGCTCTAGAGTATCTGCAAAATACGTTAATTATTTTACCATTATCATACAAAATGCATGTTATTTTCTATTTAGTACTGACCTGAATAAGATATTTCACATAAAATATGTTTACATATAGTCCACAAGAGAAAATAATAGATGATAAAAATCACCCTGTTCAAAAGTTTACATACACTTGATTATTAATACTGTTGTTACCTGGATGATGCACAGCTGTTGTTTTTCAGCATCTTTTGCGTATTTGAACCCTTTCCAAAAATGACTGTATGATTTTGAGATTCATCTTTTCACACAGAGGACAACTGATATGCAACTATTACAAAAGGTTCAAACGCTCACTGATTTTGTAATAGTTGCATGTAAGTCTCTCAGTTGTCCTCAGTGTGAAAAGATGGATCTCAAAATCATACAGTCATTGTTGGAAAGGGTTCAAATACACAAAAGATGCTGAAAAACCAATGGATTTGTGGGACCTGAAGGATTTTTCTGAAAAATCAAGCGTAAACTTTTGAACAGGGTCATTTATATAAATTCAGTTGTTATTTTCTCTTGTAGACTATATGTAAATGTGTTTCTGTTTGTATAATTGACTAATGTGCTATGTATGTATAATATTATGTCATGACAGAAAATACATATATCGATTTTACAGATGTGCCCGTAATTTCTTATTAACACTGCCAAATATTTATGAAAACAACATTAATCAGTCATATTTCACCTGCTAGTGGAGAAAAGTGACACAGACTCCATTAAAGTGATGGGTCACCCATGAATGAAAATTCTATAATAATTTCCTCAGCCTGATGTCATTCTAAAACTGTATAGCTTTTTTTTCTTCTGCTGCTGAACACAAAAGAAGGTATTTTAAAGAATGCTGGTAACCAAACAGTTTTGGTGAGCACTGACTTACATGGATGGACAAAAAATAGTGAGGCATTTCTCAAAATATATTCCATCATGTTCAAAAAAAGAAAAGAAAAGAAAGTCACACAGTTTGGAACAACATTAGTAAATTATTACAGATGTAGTCTACATTTAAAACATCCAACACATTTTTTTTTTTGGGGGGGGGGGGTGAATTGTCTCTTCAAGAAACAACAATCCTCTTTAAGAAACAAATTGGAATTGTGTCAGTAAATTGTAAGAGCATAATTTTCACTGTTTTCTGAAGAAAGTGTTTTTCCTATTATATTGACTTGTTTACCCTCTTCAGCTAAGCACTTTTGAATGCTATATTGATATTTTCTCTTTGGATAAGTGCTTCTCTTTCTCTTGTCTGTGCAGATGTCAGGGATCTCAAAAGCCTAAATCCTGCTACCAGCCTTTGGCCCAGACCATGTGTCAATTGCTTTTAACTCAATCTTAACTTGCATAGCTTTCATTTAAGGATTAAACAACCTTGCATGCGATAGTCACAACTATTTCTGTTTCAGTTCTGTCTGATTTGAGTAGTTTTACTTTTATAGCTGCACATTATGTGGATGGGATAGGTAAAACACCTGTAATGGAATGGTGTCTTTTTAATATGTAGCCATGTCTTAGAATAAAGGCTTTTTACTCGCTTACTAGGTGCCTGGATGTGGATTTTTTTTGTGTGTGATTTGCAACAGGATCTGCTTATCATTTTTGACACCTGAGATTTACTTGTTACTACATGACTTTTATCATAAAGAGTCTTTGTTCATGGACAACAGCTTGAAGTTAAAGTCTTTAATTCAGGTCATCATTCTTTATAATAAACGCTTTTGTTGTAAAAGGTGCGAAACATCATTGGCACAATTGCTGTATTAATAGGCTACTGATCACAATTTTGAGTGCTTGTTTTCCTCACCTGGTCATCTGTCCTCTCACCCACATGACAAAGTTTATCACTACCAACAGGCTACATGAGATACAACACAGTGTGTGGCATAAAATGGGCCTTTGTTCCCACAGCATCGCCTTAATCAACTAGGCTATAGAATCATAATAGTAGTTGAATAAAGTGATTTTGTTTGCTTACAGTGTCAGGGTATTTCTCCTGACTGACTGTTGTTTTCACACTTTGAAGATTAATTTACATATATCGGTGGTCTTTGAGACATTATATATGATGTCTTTTAAAAGACATTAAAGTGATGCATTGTGATATGGTTAATGAAAGGGTTCTGAGGCACGCGTCATTCATTACCATAACAACAGCAGAGCTCTCGCGAGCGTGACCGACCTCAAACACGCACTCACACAACCATAAGTAACAATGAATGGATATATATTCCATTAATTCCATTTAGTTTCCACAAACACTGAATGACATAAAGATGTAGGTGCAGTTGTTCTTATATTCGATATTCCAATATTTTCTAATAATCCCGCAGGCCTAATACTACTGTGGGAAAATAATAAACAGGTCTATATGTCAGAAAATACTAGCCTATAAGTTGTTTAAAAAAAAAAGTGGAATGGCTGCAACAGATGCCGGTTGGGTGAGTTCGGGCGGTTTGTGGCGGACAATAAGTGACCATGTGCCGCCTGTTAACATACAGCTGTTGGAGCTGACCCACACAAAAGCGTCATCATGATATTTCCCCATCCTCCAGAGCAGCCTGAGCGTCTCTGCATACTGCACAACAAAACACACACACACACACACTCACTTGTGCCTGCAGACACAAAGAACATTGCAAATAAAAACGTATGCCCCGTCACCCCCCCGCCCGCCCGCACGCGCCACAGCGACCACACTGATTGAGTGTGTGTGATCTGCAGGAGGACGCGAGACTGCAACATCTTTTTCAGGATTTGTCTGAAGCATTCGGAAGACGTCATCTCCGCTGAGCCTCCGTGCACCTTCGGAACCGGACAGACGAATGTCCTGCGAGCGGACCAGAGCTCTATAGCCAGCAGCGCAGCCATCCGGGTGCCTTTCCACTTCAAGTGGCCGGTAAAGTTCATTACGCACTAGATTAACTTAAGTAAACAATATTCCAGTGTTTCATGGTGTATTTAGTTAGATGAACATTCTTTGCATTACTGTCTAGATGCACTTAAGTTTAACACTTACTGTAAGACCATAAACAAGACCATGCAACAGTTTGGAACTGTCAGTTCATAACAAATATGTGACCCCAGAACCACAAAACTGGTCATAAGGTTCAATAAAAAAAGAATTGAGATTTATACATCATCTGAAAGCTGAATAAATAAGCTCCCCATTGATGTATGTTTGTTAGGATAGGAACATATAACTATTTGAAACAACAATTTGAATAGAATCTGAGGGTGCAAAAATGTTTTTTGAGAAAATCGCCTTTAAAGTTGTCCAAATTAAATTTTTAACAATGCATATTACTAGTCAAATATTAAGTTTTGATATATTTAGGGTAGGAAATTTACAAAATATCTTCATGGAACATGATCTTTACTTAAAATTTTAATGATTTTTGGCATAAAAGAAAAAAAAAAGATAATTTTGACCCATAGAATGTATTGTTGGCTATTGCTACAAATATACCTGTGCTACTTATGACTGGTTTTGTGGTCCAGGGTCACATATAAGTGGAAGACAATAGAGAATGTTTGCTTCTCAGTTTCAGCAAAGATGATACGATGCTTTTTTAACATCTAAAATAACATCTTGTTCTTTTCAGGGGACGTTTTCTCTTATTATTGAGGCATGGAATGCTGAGTCTCCAAAAGAGCATCATGACTACACAGGTGGGCTACACAGTGTGATGGAAAGCAAACATACAGACATAAGAGTTTTTAAAAAAAATTTTATTTATTCAATTATTCCTTCAAGCTTAAGTTTTTCTTTATTTTTCCACAACAGAGAATCAAAACAACCTAATCAGTCGTTTAGCAACACGAAGGCGCTTGGCGATTGGAGAAGACTGGTCTCAGGATGTACATTTTGGAGACCAGAGTGAGCTCCGTTACTCGTATCATGTTTTCTGTGATGAGTTTTACTTCGGTGAGGCATGTTCAGATTACTGCCGTCCTCGTGACGATACACTGGGACACTACACCTGCGATGAGAATGGAAACAGGGTATGCCTGGAGGGATGGCAGGGAGACTACTGCTCTGACCGTGAGTACCACCTGTGTGTGTCAGATGCTCAGAGGTCTGCTTAGCCCATTGGGATTGTATGTCTAGGACTCTGAAAAGAAGCAGTCCCACACTCCCTTTCCTGATGACTCTGTATTTATGTGTGATTGTGGTTTGTGTGTTGGAACTTGAGCAGCAGGAATACATACCCTTATCTCTCCTATCTTTGTGTGCATGTGTGTCTGATGGAAGCTGAGCTGTTTCTCTAGAGCTTCTACACTTCTTTTGTTCAGCCGAACAAAGAAACCCAACAGATACATGCTAGAGGGTCGTTCTGTGTGTGTGTATGTGTGTGCACGCTTGCCACAGCTCAAAATACAAAAGAGTGCATTACCTCTGTCAGCTCACCAGCTGCTGGCCCCAACACTTAACACACCCATTCATCTGCTCTCTCCAGGGGGCGTGGTGTGTGTGGTGTGCGTAACCCCCCTCTCTGTCTCCTCCCATAGCCATCTGCTCTTCAGACTGCAGCGAGCGTCACGGTTACTGCGAGTCACCTGGTGAGTGCAAGTGTCGTCTGGGATGGCAGGGGCCATCCTGCAACGAGTGTGTGCATTACCCGGGATGCCTACATGGAACCTGCTCGCAGCCATGGCAGTGTGTGTGTAAGGAGGGCTGGGGAGGCCTCTTCTGTAACCAGGACCTCAACTACTGCACCAACCACAAACCCTGTGCTAATGGCGCCACCTGCACCAACACCGGACAGGGCAGCTATACCTGCACCTGCCGGCCAGGATATGGGGGCACAAACTGTGAGCTGGAGATTAATGAGTGTGATTGCAACCCCTGCAAGAATGGTGGCAGTTGCAATGTAAGTTCATGCTCACGTGATAATAATAAAACCGTATTTATATACAAACAGTCATCAGTTTATACATAATAGAATGGGTATACATAACAGTAAAACAATATTTACATGTAAATCAATTTAGAATATTTGAAATGCTGAGTATGTGTGTGTGTATGTGTGTGTATATATATATACTACATTTTACGTAACATGACATTTTAGTAGATGCAGCATGTTTGTTCAAAAATAGAAACGTGCACACTTAGCTTCAATTTAATGTATTTTATTTAAAAGATTATTAATAGAAAATTAAATAATGATAAAAAAATGTTTCAATCTATGTGTCATGATTTAGGTTAAGTAAATATGCTCTGTTGTGCTTTATGTGCACAGTGGATTTTGAAGATCAAAAATGATTTGAGACCTGAATTATGTTTACAATTTGCTAATATCTGTATCTTTCTCCTTCCCTGCAGGATTTGGAGAATGATTACTCCTGTACATGTCCTCAGGGATTCTATGGGAAGAACTGTGAGATCATTGCGATGACATGTGCGGATGACCCCTGCTTTAATGGAGGGACATGTGAGGAAAAAATCACTGGTGGCTACGTCTGCCGCTGCCCCTCAACCTTTACCGGATCCAACTGTAAAAAAAAAAAAAACGAGCATCTGACTTTGTGCATCCAATCAAATCTGTCCGCGGGGCGCGCTCCTCAATCGCTCATTCTCAGACAAGCACAGGCGCATGTAACATGGCTGAGGAGATGCATATCGGTCATTCCCCGGATTTAGACAACGCTCGAGAGCACGGGATGAACATGCATAAGCGCCAATCGCGCGTTACGGTAAAATACAACCGCAAACAGCTTCAGAAAAGGTTGGACGTGGAGAAATGGATCGACGAAGGGCTGGACAAGCTGTACGAGGGAAAGGTGAGTGTCCACACGCATCCTCACAGGTGCAGCTGGTGCAGAGTTGATACTCAAAGGTTAATTACCTCTAGAAAAAAAGTGTTTTGATGGAAAAATAAACGATAGCGATGCATTTCAAATGCCGTGGAGACGCATGCTGTGTCATTCGTTATTTTGAAATGTTTGACTGGTGAAATGTGTGACAGTTCCTTCTCTAAGAAGTTGACCACAAACGTTTTGTACATGTAACTCTTAAAATCAGATTCAAGTACGAATATTCACTTACTTTTCTCTCCAGTAAATTCACAAGTTTTCATTTCTGCGTAGCTGAATGTAGTTAACTTTACAAACTAAAGTTATCTTGTTTTGTTTTAAAGTCCATGAACACGTACGCATGGATCAGCTTTTGTTTACAAATGTTTGTAGAGACGATAAGTATCTAAAGAATAAGAATGATACTTCAATGCATGAGAAATAAGTACATGGAATACAGACATTTTACACCACTCAATGAAATGAAAGGTTGATAACGTGTGTATTTGCATCTCCTTATGCACTTTTAAATGGAGTGAGGTGAGACATTGTTCTGCAAGTCTCACATTTATAAACAACAGCCTTTGTTAATGTAAGTGTGTGATCGATGCTGTGACATTAATATATCTGACAGAACAATATTAGTTGTTGGATAATGTTAGATATGTTGGCTGCCCATAAAAGGTGAGAAGGACCAGACCTCTGGAGGTACCGGGGAAGGTTCTGCTTTCTCTCCCTCATTTACAGAGGGGATCACTTGGTTCTATCGCTACCTTACATGGGCACCCCCTGAGAAACAGTCAAGGGCAGCAGCAGGCAGGAAGTCTAAACATAAGCTGTGTGTGTAGTGAGACCCTGTCCCACAGTAAGAGACGGCAGAGATATCTCTCGGGAATTGTGCTATGTGATCTGTTATCTCTATTTCCTCCTCAGCTTGTGTAGGAGAACGTTTCCCACTGAAATGATGGAATATTGAGAAGATATTCTGAGAAACTGTAGGCTGCTGAAAGGTCAATGAGATATAACGGGCAGTGTTATGAACTGGAATACATACATGAATACTGTGTGGTTATGTCAAAATTACAGTTATTTATATGTCTATATATATATGTGTGTGTGTGTGTGTGTGTGTGTGTTTTTCTTTTCTGGAATAGTTAATTATTTCAGCACCCTCAATAATTTTTGTTGCTTTGTTTTGTTTATTTTGGAGGACATGCCAGAAGAAGTGAACATTGACGATTTGTTGGATCTCCCAAGTGATGAAGAGCGAACACACAAACTACAGGTCCCATAATCCTCTTCTCTCTCTCTCTCACACCACATCCTGTATTTAGGCCTTGCCATATTTACGTTTACATTTTTGCATTAACTAATGCTTTTGTCCAAGGTAACTTACAAAAGAGTGACAAAAGCTATTTGTCAAAGAGCCAACAATATTCATATATATAAGATGCAGGAGAAATGCAGAAAAGAAATAGAAGTGTTTTTCCCAATGCACTGGGAAAATCTCTCACAAATGGCAGGACAATTAAATTAAAAGACCTTCTAGAGAAGAATTAAACCGCTTTAGTAAACATTTCTGATTGTGTTGTTGCCCGACATATTAGTGCTCAGATGATACATTTATCTATTCAAAATATTTGCTCTTTTTTCCATTTTTAAAGTTTGTATCTCCCATGAAAATAACATGTAGAAGATAGGACCACTGACCTTGAAGTCAGCAGCCTGACATTCTACTTTTAGATGAAGATGAGTGGATGCCAGAACTTTTATACCATGTCCCTTGACCTGGGTATTTGCACGTTTGTTTTACAGGTTCTTCTGCAGACCTGCACCAGCAGTACTGAGGTACATCGGTATCAATCCTTCATCCATAAATCCTACCTGCTTTCCAAACGTTTTTCTTGTTCTTTTTCTATCTTTCTGTATACTCATCTTTAGTACCCCTCTATGGACCTCTCTTGTTTTCTCATCCTTTTGTTACTCTACCTCTTCATCCCTCTTTCCCGCTCTCTCCCTCTCACTCAGAGGAAAACTGCAGTGGATGACACTCCCTTCCACGCGTTTCTCACAGTGATCACAATGAATGAATGATTTGTTCTCTTTCTTTCCCCATGCCCCTATTTCTCTCAGTTAGTACAAAGCCATTCTTTCATTGGGGCTCTTTAACAATGTTCTCTCTCAGCCTTTTGATTAGTGTATGTACATGATTGTTACTATGCGTGTATGTGCAGAAGATTGTGTGCCTCTGGGTAAGCTAGTGTTGAAGTGCTGACACACCATGGAAAATCAGTAGAGAGGAACGTGGCATTTACCTCATACACATAAACATCTGAAAAACGTAATCAGGTTTCACATTTGAGACATACCAAGGCACAATTCTCAACATTTTCAGTTTGATTAAGAACATGTTTTTGCTTTGACACATGCAATACACAGCCAGAATAATGGGGAAAAATAAATTTTGGAGAGATGCGTTTTTTTTTAAAGGTTTAACTTTTATTTTAACTTTTAGAATGCTGTGTCATTAGATGCTGCACAAGACACGAGACGCGCACAGTGGTCAAACACATCTGTCTAGCTAGTGTTTAAATAGAAAAACAATGGAAGAGTTGCACACTGGAATGGAAATGCTCTAATTATGGAACATACCTAATATTATACAAGATTATGATCAAACTTTACATCTACTCTGTAATTTGTATTTTGAATTAACTAGTTTGTGTAACAGGAACACTGGACTGTAATTTGAGTATTTACAAAGTTTTACAGTACGTTGTCCTAAATTGCAATGTGCAAAAATTTACAAATATTTTCATGCTTGTTCTGCACAATTTCTTCAAGCGTGTACACCTAGATTAAGGTTATTCTGTGTTCAGGCTTTTGTTGCTGAGCTGTTGCAGAAGCTGCATGGTCTCCATAAACAGGAAGAGCTGCAGAATGAAGGAATTGAGCATCCCTGTCTCCACACTTATCCCCATCACCATGGCAACATCCATCATCACAGAGGCAACCATCAACTTCCAACACATCAGACACTGTGATTGCATCCAGTTTGGATAATTGCGCTCACTGGACTGAGCTCCCTAACAGACTCAGGACACACATATGATGCATCCAACTAGTTTAGCAACTCTGTAACTGTGAGGTGTTTGTTTACAAACTCATAAGAGCGGTATATTAACAGTGTTCAGTTGTAAAATTCCTCATCACTGTTGGTAAGTAAATCTATGAAGTAGCATTAATTTGTTTGCAGGGTTCTTGGTTGCTTGACTCGGTTAGGATTGATTAGTGAAACTAGCAGTATGCAAGTTTAATCTGGTCATATTGGTTGTTTTCGGGTATCTTCGTCCCCACAAATTCACAATACTATACTAAAACATGTTAACAATCACAGGAAAGTGTCAAATCAGAGTAGTCACTATATATATGGACATATTGTCATAAGTTAATCATGTTTATAAATTGAAGATTTCATGCAATAAATGTTTAACAAAAGTAACAATTATTTTGAATTTGTGTGGTGTTTATGGCAGGTGAAAGTGAGCATCTCGTTGAGCTGGGGTGTGCTATAGCGTGTCGTCCACCAGAGGGAGAAGTAATACAGAGGCAGACACACGCACTTCTGTCCGAATTTTAGTGCCTCTCACCTCTAGATACAAACTAAAGAGCTAGGTCTACCTGACACTAAGGCAGGTATTGATGGTGGTGGCTTCTATTTATGTCTGTGTTTTTGCTTCTACAGCTCAGTGCAAAAATATGAAATTAGTTGTATTTGTTTTTGTTTTTTAGGTTATGCAAAAATTGTCTGTAAAGATTCTTAATGATCCAGGCTATAGAATGTTCTAGTACAGTAGTTCTCAACCTTTTTGACTCCAAGCCCTCCTTTGTCTAAGATGATATTAAAAGCCCCTCATATCTAACCTGATATGTACCGCTAGTACTTTTGTTGTAATAAAACTGATGTTGGTTAAATATTTTAATTTAGTGTTTTATTTTAGGAATTTAATTAAGACTGTTAATATAAATGTAAATGACTTTGAGGCTTTGATTTTTAAGATTTTAAGCCCACCAGAGGGAGAAGTAATACAGAGGCAGACACACGCACTTCTGTCCGAATTTTAGTGCCTCTCACCTCTAGATACAAACTAAAGAGCTAGGTCTACCTGACACTAAGGCAGGTATTGATGGTGGTGGCTTCTATTTATGTCTGTGTTTTTGCTTCTACAGCTCAGTGCAAAAATATGAAATTAGTTGTATTTGTTTTTGTTTTTTAGGTTATGCAAAAATTGTCTGTAAAGATTCTTAATGATCCAGGCTATAGAATGTTCTAGTACAGTAGTTCTCAACCTTTTTGACTCCAAGCCCTCCTTTGTCTAAGATGATATTAAAAGCCCCTCATATCTAACCTGATATGTACCGCTAGTACTTTTGTTGTAACAAAAATAAACTGTAATAAAACTGATGTTGGTTAAACATTTTAATTTAGTGTTTTATTTTAGGAATTTAATTAAGACTGTTAATATAAATGTAAATGACTTTGAGGCTTTGATTTTTAAGATTTTAAGCCCCCCCTGGAAGTTTGCCAAGGCCCCCTAATGGGCACAAGATCCCTGTTTTAGTAGATTCATTCTAGTCAACTGGATGTTCTTGACCACTTATCCAAGAGCTTTGTGCTAAATCATACGATTTCATACCATTCCTAAAGCATCCAAAATGTTGAGTTCTTCAGATTTTTCAAGAACAATTACACAAAATGAATCCAAACCCTGTTCCTCTTTTTTATACGGTATCATCTTATATCACG